CCATGATGGGTCAGCAGGTGAGCAATTCCACTGATGTTCATGAATGTCCGAAGCTTGGTTGACTTTCCGTTAGCTTGAATTTTTGATATGTGCAAGTGGAAATCTTTTTTCTGGTCTTCTAAAATTACGTACCGGGATTTCTTACGCCCACTAACCTTATGAGGCATTAGCACGTTTTCATAAACACTGGATAAGCCAGTTGAAATTTCGTGTTCAAGCGTAAGAGACCCGTGCTTAATGCAGATCTTAGGCTAGTGGTATATAAATATTCCAATTAACGAACCTGTAATCTGCAATCATAAATAACAAAATGTTTAACTTACCTTCCGGAGTTGCAAGCGAAGAGAAGATGAAGATATTGAGAGGGTTGAAGCCCTTTGAAAGCAAGAGAAGATATGCTTAAATGAATAAGTAAAAGCTTTTAAAAGTAACACAGTGGTCGAATTAGGGGTTGTTAGCATGTGTTCTAAAAACTAGCTTGATCCTTGAGTTGTTTTTTTGGAGTAGGTTCTTCTTAGAGTGTTCCCCGTCTGTCGTCTAAAACATTCTTTTGTTTGGGTCAACTGCAACGTAAAGCTATCGTTCTGGAATTCCTCATTCGCGGATTCTCTTGTTTTCATGCTAGCTCGCTTTCTTTTAAAGCTTATTCGTGTTATTTGTTCTATTTTCAATTTTTTCCTGCCTTTGTCGTCTTCCTTAACTTTCACTGCCAATACAGTAGTAGGATCGGATTTACCATAACTCTTAGTTCCGCAGAGTTATTGCCTGGGTCAGAGGTAGAAAAACCTAGTAGTCAAAGAATGAATGAAGAGAAAACACGCTGGTGAGCGCATCTAGACATTCCCCAAAAGGGTACCCTATTCCTCACTTCTTTCTTTGGATATTTTCCTTCGTGTGAAGAAGTACGAATAAACGAAGATTTGTCTAGCTCGAGAAATGTGGTAATTCAAGAACTCCTACTGAACGTTTAACTACGATTCATTGTTTTCTGTAACAACTTATAATAATGAATTTTATCTGTAGATGATGGTACCGCAACAAATGGGCATATATGATGGGTGGCAATCCTCAGCAATTTTATCAGCAACAAGATCCACAAGCGCAGTGGACGCAGCAGCAACAACGGGTAGGTGTGGCGCGTGTCTGAAGTTCTATAATTAGCTATT